TGGTTCATTTATAATCAAATTAGTTTATTTTATTAGAAATAATTTTTATTGATTAAAGTAAAGATAAATAACTTATTGTAACATGTCACATGTTTGACTAAGTTTAAAAGCAATTAATTTTTTCTAATGTATTTTTTCATATATTACTTATTTATTCTTGTGAGTTAAAAATTTATTTATTTCGATCACGAAATGGATGTTATTATCAAAATAAGTAATATGCTCTATTTTTCTTTTATCAATTAAAAGTATATTTGTTAGAACATTGTTATAAATGTTTAAAAATACATCTTGACCCATTTTGTCATTAGCGTCTAGAGTTTAACCTTTTAAACTAAATCTCGAGTGGCAAAGAGCATCTATGAAAAAAATTCAATTTTCAGTCCACGCTAATATATCTTCCTGGCTTCGCCCCTGCTTTCACTTGTATTCAATTGCCACCAGTTCATGATATAAGAATAATGGTATGTTCGTTAGGGATTATGATAATTGATTTTTTTCCTTCAAAGAAAAACGTAGATCCCATCTATGAGTGAAGAAATAAAAAATGACAGTTAGAGTAGTGAAATAACTATCAAAAAATTGATATTTTTAGTTGAAAATTTGCTACCAAACGAGGGCTAAGATTGTGATGGGCAACGTGAGCTCGACCTTAAGACTTCAGTAGTGGAATAGAAACAAGACAGTTGTCCATTGAGACATGTTATTCTAAGAATCACTCGTCGAATGAAGACATTCTAAATAGAAAAATGAAAACCATAATTGCTAACAGTGATCTTGGCCTAAAGAGTAAGCAAGCACTAACGTAACTTTCAGCCAACAAGGACAACCTGCGTATTAAGAATAAAATTTCGATCTTATCCTTTTCTATTATTCTAAATAATATAAATTTATATCACTTATTTGATTCCAATTACTTTCAAAATACGTTTTTTATTATCTTCTTTTTAACTATGCATTTTTCAATAAAATAATATTATATATAAATTAAATTTTTTTTTTATTTTTCAACCGTACATTCTACATCAATTTACTATTCTAAAATATATTTTAAACCAAAAAAAAAAAAACTCAAACAGGCTCTTAATTATTTCTTATTTATATTTTCGACGTAGTCTTACATTTAGCCACTCTTTGGTGGGGATTAAAATTTTTAGTAAATGTTGATCGAAATTGGTAAAACATGTAATTAAAGTTTTAGAACCCATAAAATATGTGTTTAAAGTTAATTATTGATTTTGATTTAGAATAAAATCTGAAATTTGATCCCTGCCAAATAGGGCTTAATATATTTATTAAAATTAACCTTTTATTTTTTTATTAAAAAGAAATATAATCCAAAATTTTATAATTAGAAAAATGTAATAAGTTTTGATATTTACTTATCGTCGTTCTTTTCTGTACTTTTTTTTTTTTGTAATTATCACAATAAGACCATTTTAAACCTAATATATTTCAACGGTTTAGGGATGACAAAATGTTAGGTTTCGAGCCCCTTCATTTTGCCTCGTCCCAATTATTATTCCTTATTTCAATTTATATTTTTTAAAGTTAAATTGTTTTTAAAATAATTAAATAAATAGTGATAAATAATGATATTTTAATTCATGTCCTGCCTCTAGTTGTTGTGTTACTACGCGCAATCCAAAAATAATTGGCATGGCAGGGAATGGGGATGCCATTCTTGACTAGTCCGCAACGCTGTCATCCTTATAATTGTTGCGGGTGCAAAAAAATAGAGATCAAAGAAAATATAATTTTATTGAAACATTAGTACATGAATTTAATAATGTTACCACTAAAAATAGTTTTAGCACTTAAATTAAAAAAAAAAAAAAAGAATGAGAGAAAAAAAGGGATAGACAACTGGTAGTAAAATATTACTATGGGCCTGTTTGAGCCATATTATTTCAAAAAAATACGTTCTTAAATAGTGATTTGACATCATTTCAACCACATATTCTTCAATAAAATAATATTACACGCATATAAAAATTTTTCCTTATTTTTTAACCACATATTTCCCATCAATACACTATTCAAGAATGTATTATTATCAAAATAATATGGCTCACACACCCCCTAAATAATAGTTTCAACTTATATATTACGGAAGACTAAAATAGAAAACAAAAATATACTTTTGGCTAATAAAGGGGAAATCTGTAATCAGAACAAACTTTATGGAGTTTTTTGTAATTTTTAAAATCATAGGGGGTGTTTCTAAATCTGAATCTGAAGTTGTTATAAGTCTCAGTTTTTATCCAAATTTACAATTTAGATAACATGAGGTCTATATCCAACACAACTATTGATAAGATGCTTTAATCAATAAATATATCGTGACTTTTAGAGATGATCGAACATAGCAAATATTATATCAATCCATATAGACATAAAATGTTAACAATGTATCAAGGCAATGCATCACTACAATATACAAATTTATTGAGTTCAATGAGAGAACCTTAGCTCGTTACAATAAGTTCATACCAAGCTAAAATTACCCAACTTGTAACCTTGCAAAATCAGTCGCCATATTTCCAAACTGGAAGATATTGACTTTGGCCCCAGAATCTTATAAATGTGAATGTCATATTAAAACATTAGTACTATCTACATAAAAGTTTAGTATACTGCAAGAGTTGTTATCTCAGTAACACTACCATACTGTTGACTCGAGCACAATTTATCCATGAATCTTAAAAATAAATGTCCGCAATGCTTAGTCCATGTTTGATACATGAATAATGCTATTTGTACATAATGATTTACATACAGATGATATAGCAAAAGATAGTGAATTTTTATTATTTGATTTAAAAAATTCTGATCTAATCATATATCACACATCATATGTATGTAAAATTATTATGTAAATCATTATGTACATCTAACATAAAAGCACATACAGATTCTTCATTTTTTTTTTTCAAAACTCTTCAATTACTTAGTCACCATATTTCCAAACTAGAACATATTAACTTTGGTCCTCGAAACTTCAAATGTGAATTTCACATAAAAACATTCATACAATCTACTTAAAAGAGTTTAGTATGATGAGAGTTGTCATTTCAATAACACTACCATACCGTTGACTCAAAAGCACGATTTATCCATGGATCTTAAAAATAAATGTCTGCAATATTAGTCCATGTTTGATATAGGAATAATGCTACTTATACATAATAATTTATACATAGATAAAATGTCAAAAGATAGTGAATTTTTTTTATCTGATTGAAAAAATTATGACCAAATCATGTCTCACACATTATGTTATATGTATATGTATATGTAAACATATAAATTATTATGTACATGTAATACAAAAGTGCATACATATTCTTCAAATTATTATTATTTTTTTTCAAAACTCATTAATAAAATAAATTTTTGTATTGATCCATAACATTTTCTTAATTATCAATCACATATTTTATCAAAAAATTAATTCTAAAATTTTTTAGCCCGACCAGAATCAAATCTTCCAGCCGTGAATTTCACTCCATGTTTTGTAGCACGTTTTTATTCTGACCTGTAAATAGTACCTAAATTAAAGTGCATGGTACCAACTGTGATCCACCAAGTTGTTGGCTGTGATCATTATACACATAAATAAGCTTTTGCTCCCCTTCATTAAATTAAAATTTATTTTCTTTTATATTTTTAATCACACAATCTTCCATAAAAAAAATATTACATGTAAATCGAAAATTTTATCTTTTTTTTTAACCGCCGATTCTTTAAAAAAATACTATTCCATTCATTTTTATTTGAAAAAATGTGGCCAAATGGGGCCATTCCACCACATTTTATTACATTTTTTTCTACAATACTCATTTTTAACCATACATGCTTCATTAAAATAATACTAAACATAAATAAAAAAAATTTCTTCTTTTTTAACCACACATTTCAACATCAATTACTATTTAATGATACAATTTTTTCGAAATTTTTTCTCAAACTTATTTTCAATCATATATTAACACAAAAAATATTTTATAAGTAAATTTAAATTAATTTTTTTTAATACTTTTTAACTACATATTTTTCAAAAAATTACTAATTCCAACTTTATTTTTTCTTTTTCTTTTCATGAAAACCTATTTTTAATGTTTGTGAAATAGGGAATTCCAACTTCATGTGAAAGCATTGCATAATCACATTATTCACATCGAACCAAACAACGTGTGCTACCTAACCTGACTCTTCAAACTGAATGGGCCGGGTCTTATTCCCTCAAAGTTGGACCCACTCACTCTATTTATTTCCCAATATAAATAAGTTTGCTTTGTGCTATTAAAACGTGCAAGATTTTTAGTTATTATTTTAGATTAAAAGTTAATTTTAATTTATATCAAAGTCAAACAATCAATATTAATAATATTGTTCACGAACTCCACAGCTATTAAACCACATATTTAAAATTTCCTATTACAATCTATTAAAAAATATAATTTTAATTCCTATCAAATAGCCTTTTAGCATTTGTCTGGTTGAAATTAAAATTAAATTTTTAATAAATTTTGATAAAAATTGATGAAATATATTTTTAAAAATTATAAAATTCAAAAAATATTTGATTAAAATCAATTATTAACTTTGATTTAGATTAAAATATAGGTACATGTTTGGTAGCAATTTTTCATCCAAAAAAATTAATTTTCTTAACGTTATTTTACTATTTCAATCTTCATTTTTGACTTATTCACTCAAAGTGTAATCTAGTCTTCTCTATAACGGTTAAAAGATCAATTATCATGATTACTATTCGTGAATAACTATCAGTAACATGTTTTGTGGGAGGGAACTAAAATAATAAATAATCCTCATACCAAATTTCAAATTGAGCTCTATTTTAGTCAAAGCTCATTTGTAAGAGCATGGGTGGGAATGATTTAAAGAATTGATTTTTTGATCGTTACGGGAAAAGTTGAATTTACTTTTGAAAGAAGAAGGCAAATATGACAATTGAAATAAGGTAAAAAAATCAATTTTTTTTAGAGTGAAAGTCGCTCAAAACAAGCCCTAAATAGGGTTGCGGATGCAGCCGATTATCCAATCCCAAATCACTCTCTCGCACGGACTTACCGTTTCAACAAACTCAACGGCCGAGCTGGAGAAATTTGACCGCAAAACGTTTATGAATTCATTTCAACGAATATAAAGTATAAACCTGTGATAATTTTTGGGTGTTGGTTTTTAATATTTGCAGCCGTATTCTTGGTGGACATTGCGGCTTTCTGATTTCACTAATAGAGGTAATTCCCTTTGCTATTGATTCCTGTTTGAGTGTTCGCGATAGTGGATTTTGTTTATTTGGATGATATTTTTGTTGGCTGAGGAGCTGATTATTTGGTTTGACCTAATAAGATTATTTTGATTTTGCTTTTGTGAAGTTATTGAAGATGATGGTAAACTGAGATGGGACTCAGTTGAATACAGTCTTACTATATTCGGTTTTAACTCTTTGTTTTTCTGATGGATTGTTAACGGTGGTGCACACACTAAAACGGCTACCACATGTATCTGCCGAGGAGTAGGGCAGAATTCTATTTGAAAATGGAGGGTTTCCAAGTTATATGTTGCATAAATCTTCATCAGTGATCTATCAAGTGGTTTTGCCCTATCTAATGAGGATTGGGTGATCAGTTTTAATTCCACTTGCTTGCATTTTTCATCTTTATATATTCTAGGAACAGATATAGGAAAATAGTTTCATATTTGATTACAAATAGAAATGTTTCCATTTGATTCAGTCTTTTAATATTTTACTTGATGGATTTGGCCTCTTAAAATGAAATATTCTACTCTGTCTTCTTGTAATTGCTGTTCACACATGGAAAACCCTCATAAATTAGGTATTTGTGAAATTAATATAGCAAGAGAACATATGCTTTTTCCTACTGTATTAATTCGTTGTGTAGGGTTCTAGCGCTAAATGGACTCCAACCATATTTTCTGTACTTTCATTTTTGTATTGTTTACTTATGCTATTGTATACTTTTTTGTCCACCGTAGTTGTAAATTTATAGAAGGACGCAATTCAATACTGATTCTCCTTTATATCTAAATTCTGAGAATAGAAACCGAAAGTAGTTGCAATTGCTTAGTTGATTTGTTGGGATGTTCCTTCCTAATTGTATGCAGAGCAGATAAAATCTTGGCCTCTAATGTAACCACTCAAACTTTAATTACTGATGTATCTCTATTGCCATCTTTTCTACTAGAAAGACATTAAAAATTTTCCTCATTATATTTGCTCTTCATGCTTTCTCGTCAGGTTTCTTCATTTCTGTTACACTTTGTGGAGAGGAAGAGTCGTCCTGATTATATTCTCATAATAGATGCACTGGGAGTTATGATATTTTCTCTCTTTTTTGGTACCTGCGGTTGCATTGTCTGTAAGAAACAGGTGGTTGATTTGAGTGGTGAAAATGCCCGCTAATTATTTCTCTAGATTCGGTGTATCATTCTGGCAAGGAGTCCAAAGATTAATCTCCGTGAAAGAAAGTGGAATCCGAGATCCAATAGAGGTTTTGATTGGCCAAGGAAAATTGTTGATTGGCTGTTCAAGGTCATTCCATTCTGTGCCTTCTGGAACATTTACTGACCTTCATGTATTTCTACGGCCTGGCACGGTTGCTGCTGCTCAGGCAAATTTGCATATAGCCAATCGAAGAAAAAATCTTTCAGTTGTTGGTGTATTTTCCCGTGCAATTTCCATACCATCTGTGTCAGGGCCTTCATTTCAAGTTTGTGGTTATCACGTTGATTGTCTGCTATCAGACCCCAGTAAGGTTACTTTTGGCATCAACTCTCAGAAGGCTCTTATGGCTGTTTGTGGATCTAGATCAGCTCCAGCCGATTTCTCCATTAGGAATTTGACTTCTAGGCCAGTACAACCTGGTGTGGCAGCATATCGCTCTTACAGTTACAGCGGAAGGAGCTTCAAAAATTGTAGAAAAGCTAGCATGAGCTTGAAAAATAAAGAACAACCAAACAATTTCTTGCTCTATGGATATTTTATATATAACGTTGCAAAGAGAAACGGCAATTCCAAGCCATACCCAGGATTTGGGTTTGAGGGTTTCTATATCTCATCACCTGCATGTTCCTCTACTGGCACTGCTTCTGATGTGTCATTTGATAGCTCAATGCAGGAGGAACTGCATTCAAGTTCTTCAGATTCTTCTGATCTGTACGTTCCCTCTAGTTTGTATGATTTACACACACACATGCATTCTATCTCTCTCTCTCTGAAGTTCAGGCCCTACCATTTATTGTGTGAAACTTAGATATTGTTGCAAATTAGATGTCTGATTGCAGTTGCCGCAATTTCATTTGTTTGATGAGTGTTTCATAGTGCTTGTAATGGTCACTTTAGGAAACTATGAACAACAAATTGTATCTAACAAGTTTTACTTGCTCATAGCATGTTCTACATATGTTGAGTTGATTATTTGCTAGAGTTGACGTGGCATCTCAATGATGATGACAGATTATTCTACTAAAAGAGTAATGTTTTTTATTTGTTTCTCTTGAGCAAATATATGATTCGTTTATATTTTCACCGATTGTTTTATTCATTTAATAGTAACAAACAATTGTTGAGTAGGTTCCACAAGTTTCTTGTTGGATATTTGTTTGAAATTATGCACAGTTATTGGTTAGCGCTATCTCTGCAGAAAAAAGGTGAAATTTGGTATTCAAAGTATTAATTTTAAAATTATGTAATAATTCACTGAATTTGTTTTTAAATTTTTTTTGCATGTGATTAGTTTGTATGGAGTGCATTACTATTGTAAAAAAATTCTGATTATTGTGGTAGGCCTTTTTGTATTTATAATTTTTCTTGTTGGTTGCAGGAAGATTCCAACAGACAGATCTCTAAAGCTAAATTCAGCATCATGTTACCTGCCCCATCCTGACAAAGAAGAAACTGGTGGAGAGGATGCTCATTTTATTTGCTTGGATGAACAAGCAATTGGTGTAGCTGATGGCGTTGGTGGATGGGCTGATCTTGGTGTTGATGCAGGGCAGTATGCTCGTGAACTCATGTCTAATTCAGTCAACGCAATTCAAGAAGAACCAAGGGGTTCAATTGATCCAGCCAGAGTCCTGGAGAAGGCTCACACAAGCACGAAAGCAAAGGGTTCATCAACAGCTTGTATAATTGCTCTCACAGATCAGGTGCTGTGCATTCAACTTATATTACAAGAATATGATAAAATAAGTACTTTTACTACCATCATTGCCTAACATTGAAAAGATTTTTATGTGTAACAAACTAGAGATTTGAGTTTATGGTTTATTTACTTGATTAAATTGTTGGACTCATAAAATTTTTTCCTCTAGGTATTTGAACTGTCTGTGTGGAATATACAAGTTTTTCTTCCAGTCAATTTAGATAGAAGCGCTCAATGCGTCTCTAAGTTTCTGGAGTTACTGACCACATTTCCTGTCTGCAGGGTCTCCATGCCATAAATTTAGGAGATAGTGGGTTTATGGTGATTAGAGATGGATGTACAGTTTTCAGATCCCCTGTTCAGCAACATGATTTTAATTTCACTTATCAGCTGGAGAGTGGTACTGCTGGAGATTTGCCTAGCTCTGGAGAGGTCGGATGGATCCTGTTCCTTTTATACTTTCTTTCCGCTAATGGTTCGGTGACTATTGACAAGTGCATAAGGAATATAAGCATTTTGCAAAAATATAATTTATATTGTAAACGAAGGAAATTGCATTAATTGGGTTGGAACTTTGTTGAGAGTGTTGGGCGAGGTGAAAGGATGAGAACCTGTGTTTCATACTGAATTTTAACTGTATAATTGATGTACAAGTTCGGCCTGCTGTTCAGTTATCATGTTTAAACATTGTTCAGTTATCATGTTTAGAATAATTAACATTTTTATTTTATTGATGATCATCTTCTACCATAGCTAACAATGCACTGTGATAATTTTGAACGTCCTCTAGCAGGCTGTTAGATATATGCCATATTGCATGGATCCTTCTAGTGAGTCTCAAGTGTTTTAATCATTATATGATAGGTTTTTGTCAACTTAACCTTAGGCATGCTCGTATGTAACACTTGATACCCATACCCAGGCCCACACAGCATAGGGTGCATGCATTTCATGTAATATATAGGCAACATTCACATGTTCTCTAGTAGCACCTCTTTTAGGGTGGAAACCTGGTCTATACTCCATCCACAATATTATTCCTCTTAAATGGAACTTTGATTGTTGCTTTCAAATACCTAATTCTTTAGGCTGTCCTTGACTCCTTTGTACTTCTAGCTTTGCAGTCATCTATAAGTTTTAGTTATGGCTTATATCATCTTTTGTTTAAGCAAATACTTGAACTTAAGGGGCAAATGCTGATCAATACTTGCTTCAGTTTGTTATTTTTTGACAATTAGGTTTACTACGCTACTTGGAAATGAATCCATTTGGAACTGAATGGCCCTATGTGTGGTGCAGGTGTTTACAATTGCTATTGCTCCAGGAGATGTTATAGTTGCCGGTACAGATGGGCTTTTTGACAACTTGTATAACAATGATATTACTGCAGTAGTGGTTCATGCCGTGAGAGCTGGTTTAGGGCCTCAAGTAACAGCCCAAAAGATTGCAGCATTGGCGCGGCAACGAGCACAAGACAAAAGCAGGCAGACACCTTTCTCTACTGCAGCCCAAGAAGCTGGGTTCCGTTATTATGGTGGAAAGCTTGATGACATCACTGTAGTTGTTTCTTATATTGCCAGTGAGCACAAGGTATGATCTCTCCGTGTTCGTGTTTCAAGATTTTCTGATCATGCCTGCATTTTGGTGACTGTCTGCATGGCTGTACATAAAGCTCTCTTTCATTTTATCGTTGGACGATCCTTGTATATCTCATGTCAAAACTGGAAACTACTATATCTTTAGAGTGAGTCCAAAATTTTTTTGCTTTGCATTGTGAAAAGTTCTCAATTTATATATTTTTTTCTTGGCTTTAGATATATGAAACCATGACAATTGGGTAATAATTCATCAATAAAATGATAGAGTAAAATTTATGAAAATCAGCTTAATAATAGGCCCTATTTCAAAATGATGGACACAGTTACATTTATAAATTTAATTATTTATGCATTCATTGTTTCTAAAATAATGTGAAGGTAACTCCTAACCTACCCTCACTCAAGATTTGCGCTGTAGGTAAAACACATAGCCCACTTACTGGTGCTCGCGTTGTGCACAGAATGATCCTGATACGTAGATACACAAGTGAATATAGCATGCCATCATCTATTTGCTACCATTTTTTACAGGGTCTCGTAACTTTAGAGATTATGCATAATTTGATGTTGGGTTCCGATTTCTATTTTTCAGATGTTTTTATTATAGTCTGTTCTGATGTGTTGATTCATTTTTCATGGACTTGCTCTTTTTCTTGGGTTAGTTGTTCTGAAGTGAGCCTTGATCAAAAGCTGACTTGATAAGTGCACATTTATAAGTTGTGTAAAGATTTTGCTTATATTATTTCCTCCTACTGTACACCGTGTAGTAGAAAAGTCTCGATGACAATGGTGGTCTAGATGTAATTTTTGTTTGTGCGTGGCTGGAAGCTTGTTGCATTTCTGAACATTCCACATTATATTGTTACATGCTTGTGGAAGAGTAATGGTTGAAATGCAGTTTATTCCTCGATATATGTATTACTTCATGAGTTCATGTTTAAAGCCTAGAGTATATTTGTTATGCAGGATCGAACAAGACAGTTAACTAGATTTTAGCTTATTTTTCTTCTTCAATATTGTTTAATAATATCCAATCTCGAAATTTGATTGTGATGCTTGTGCAGGAAAGCGCTTCATCCAGGGTCTCTAGTTAGAGCCTGTTTGTACTTACTCGGTGTCAATTTCAAATAACTACTCGGATTGCTTGGCATCATTTGGGTCAATACTGATGTTTCACCTACGGCAGTTTAGCAATATTATTGAAACCTGTTGTGTCTTTTTATCGTGTATTCCACTGTTATACTCCTGGGAATTACTTTTGTTGTATATACTAGTTTTGAGCTGTTAGTGCTTTCTGTTACAGATCAAATCAGCTGGACAGAGTTGATCAACGTTTGTCTTTTGTAGTTTTAGAATCTTATGCTCGCTGATTCCACACGGATTGTGTTAGATCTTGAAAAAACCATAGTTCAAAAGCTAGATGTTAAAGTTGAAAATCTCGAGTCTATATAAATCACACGTCGAAATTTCACACTTATGATGTGGAATTCTAAACTCATGACTTGTGATTGGAATCATGTCAAATCTTGCGATCTTGGCACTTGCATTGGACTGACTGTGCGCTAATTTTTGGCTATTTGTCAACGAACACTATTATGTTAGGGTCACCGTTCACTATTTATTGGCATTCGTGAGATGTCATGCCTGCTTTGATCTTATTGTTATAGATTTTGATTGAATCATATTTTAAAAGTTAACTATTGAAGTTGAAGTCTTAATCTAAGACCATCTCTAATGGATATGCCCTATTGCACCAAAATTTGGTGCATACCTTCGTCCAACTTTTGCACCAAATGGTACAACATGTGTAACACTATTCATTGCACCATTTTTGGCATCAAATGGTGTAATATTTGTTGTCATTTTTTTTATCATTATTCAATGATAATGATTAAGGATATTTGCATCATTTTTGTTCTATAATAATAATAATAATTAAGGATTTTTTTAATTAAATAATTATTTTTGTGAATTTAATGTAATTGTTTATAATAAATTAATAATATAATCAATTATTTTCGTCAATTTAACATAATATATAGAACATGTGAATAATTTATTAATTAATAATAATTCAATATATTTGTTAATTTAACTAAATTATAATTTAGTAATTTATATAATTATAAAATAAATAAATACATTGTAAAAAATCGAAAGAATGAATAAAATAATAAAATATTGCTCATTTGGTGTAAGTTTTGGTGTAATGATTGAAGATGAATTTTGGTTTGATACAAGATTTAGTGTAAAATTATATAAATTTTAGTGCAGCGCTGAAAATGACCTAAATATCTAATGAAATACATTGGGATTCCATACTCTTGATGTGGATTCAAATTTCATATCTCAACCATAGGAACCATGACATGTTGCTAAAGTAATGTTTGCTGGACTTGGTTTAATACTTTATCAATCATATAATTTTATATAAAAAGTGTCTAAATTTATCTTAAGCGACGAAAATAATAAGTTTTTTCATATTGGAATTTTGGATTCATTTCGTAGTCAAATTAATACCTAGGGTTGCACAAAAAAATCGTGAAACCTCAAATCGAGTCGAAACCGTTGAGTTAAAACCGTTGGTTTGGGTCCACGAGGACCTGTGATTTCTTTTTCCTCAAACCGAACCAAACCGTGGGGAAATGGAGAATTCCCCTATGACGGGGAAGGGCAGTCTAGACTGCATGAAGGAACTAACACAACTCCCAGCCCGGGGATTAAATCCCTCTTCGGTGTTTGAGTTTCTCTGTGGACAGTGCCACCTTAAATCCTTTTTTTAGTTTTCATCATTTACTCCCCTTTATTTTAGAAGGCGCCAGTCTTCTTCATCTGGCCGCATTGCATCAATTATGAACCGAACCAAACCAAATCGTTTTAAAGTGGTTTGGTTTAGGTTTTGATTTTCAAATACCTCACAAAACTTAATCGGGCTGTTTTTAAGTTTTTTAATTAAAATATTAATTTTATTAACTTAAAAAATTTAAAGTTTTCACTTTTAAAAAAAATACTAATTTAGCAATACAATTATAACCAGCCTATTAAAATAATCATAGAAAGTAAATTAGGTTCATCGTTATTGACATATGATTTAACAGGTTTACAACACATGTTCTTACCTGATATCTAAACTAAATTAAAATTATTCCAAAATCATATGAAAAAAAAAACTCATATTTTCAACAATCTAAATCACAATTCAATAAAACTACGTCAGTAAATCACGTCCAAATGGTCACTCTACCTTTACTAACCGCTATATGACAATATGAATGTTAAACAAGAAAAGGTAAATAAGGATGAAGAAATATGTATTGTTCTATTAATGTCTTTTATCAATGAATTTTGAAAATAATTTATTTATGGGTTTCATGGTAAATATGAATATAATTTGATATTTAACATTATTAGTTTTCGTTTAAATTTATATTTAACTTATGTTAAATACATTACTATAATGTTGAAAGGTAAACCGCAGATTAAAGTTGAATCAAACCGCAAATTATGGTTTAATTTGAAAAAAATTTCAAACCGCATAAAATGATTTGAATTGAAAATATAACATAACCCGCCCAAATCAAATTGCATTCACCCCTATTAATATCCACAATTTAGAAAATAATATTAAAATATCAGCCAAACAAAACCCTTATTGCCTATACAATTATTTATTAGCCTTTGTTTGAGTTCCATTTTGGAGGGAATGTATTTTAAATAATGTATTGATGAGAAATATATGATTAAAAAATAAGAAAAAGTGAATTGGGCTCAAACAAGAGCATAATTTGAATACATTTTATATAGTTAATGGAATTAGGTAAAGTTAGTTGCTCATTGGTGTCGTTCATAGGCCTTCCTTCACTCAGCCGATTAGATTGGTCCCTTCCCAATTGAACCGTTGGTTTACGGAACCTAACCATTGTTCCTGTGTTCCTCGAAACACCATTACAGACCACCCTGTTTGCTTAATGCTTATACTATGCCACTCCTCCTGCCAAAGCCTGAAGGAGGAAAAAAAAATATCATATTGAACAGAGAGCAAAAGATAAATCCTTCTTTGTTTTTCCGAGGTTTGAGTGTTGGAGGCTAGTTTGAATTTTTGATCATGAGGGAAAAGATCAATGGCAGTGGGTTGAAGGGAGAAGAATAGTTAGTCATCGATACGTAGTGATGACTCGGCTCGTCTCGTCACGAGCCCGAGCAGAGCCCATGAGCTGAAGCTCGTGATTTTTTTAATTTTTTGGATTTTTTGAGCTCGTGGGCTCGTAAAAAATGGCTCGTGGTCGACGAGCCGAATAGGCTTGGCTCGTCGGATTGAGCCCCCTATTTGGATTGGCTCGACCCATGAGCAGAGTTTTAACGAGCCGAGCAGTCGAATCGCTCGGCCCGTTTGACATACGATGATCGCATATCGCCATCGCAATTGGGATCGGAGTTGTTGCCGGATGCATTTTCGCCTTCTTTTTCCCAAATGGATTCTCCTCCTCTAATCCGCCTATACAAGTTCGCCGTCTTACCAAATCCAGTCTCGAGGTACCTATTTTCTCTACTAATAGAAATCTCCCCTTTTTCATTTTCCATATTGTGTCTTCATGATTCTGCTTATGCTTCTTTTGGAGAAGTGCTATCCCAGGGTTTTAGATTTATTAACGAAATGCAATTTGTGGGTTTCATTTATCTTAATTTTGTGATTTATGTAAATTGAGGGGGTCAGTTGACTCTCTTTGTTTTGGGCAGTGAGTTTTTGACTATATTACAAGTAAATTGCAAGATTTGATTTTGATTTAAGTATCACGTTCTTGCAAAATTGTAATTATTCTAGACATATCAGTTCCTCGAGAAAAAAACAAGGAAAGAGAACGAAGATAAATAATGGTCTGTGTATAGCTTGAGTTGATGTATAACTTTTTCTTAAGTGTAATTTTAGTCAGTGTCAAACTCTTTTAGATATGCTTAAACTTCTATTGATTTGGTATGTAGGATGATTTGTCCTCGTGTGAATCTCCGAAAAAATTAAACACGTTGAAGACGGACATCATGAAGTTGTCGAAAAAGAATATGGAGCTGAAAAGGCAAGCAAAGGGGCTGAATGAAAAGTTACGTCTAGCTGAGCAGGGAAAAGACCATGCGCAGGAGCAGGTTATGAAGTTGAGGGAAAAGACCAGATAAAGCTGGGCCTTTTGGCACTGTTAAGGCATTAAGAACTAACCCAACCGTCCTTCCTGATGAAGGCTTGAACCCGAGACTTGCAAAGATCTTGGCTGAGCTTGCTGTTGGAAAAGAACTTATAGTTGCTCTTGCCAATGTGAATGTGAAAGCTATGCTTGAGGTCTGGTTCACCAACATTAAGAGAGTTAGCATTCCTAACTACCTAGTAGTTGCATTAGATGACACAATGGTGGATTTTTGCAAGTCAAATGATGTCCCTGTGTACAAGAGGGACCCTGATAAAGTTATCAATTCTGTTGGATGTTGGAAAAATAATTAGTTGCAGTAGTGTTCAGAACAATATAATTCAGAAATATGAAACTTATCGTCCGATCGAGTCTCGTGACAGCACGATGTCCTAAAGTGAAATTACCCGTCGATAATTGCTGCGACCTCCATGAACAATCACTCTCAGGATACAACGATCATAAACCACTTGTGCAGCAATCACGAATGGTTTTTCCAAAACACTCAATTGTACTTCAGAATATATGTAAAAACCCGAGTATTCAGAATATGAAAAGGAGGATTGATGCAAGATGTTTTTTATGTCTTTTCTAAGTGTGTTTTTCCCAAAATGAGATATGTGTTTATATAGGCAAGATGGAAGTAACAGTCTCCACCATGTTCAGAGAGTAATGTAGAATTTTAATGGCTGAGTGGTGCGTATTTTAATGACTGTTAGTGGGTTGTTACAAAAATAAACGGTTAGAAAATACTAGCTAATTTTACCCACTAAATAATAAAAAAAATTATTTTAGTCAAGGAAGCCCAAGAGCCCAAAGCCCCAATCAAGACATTTTCCACACAAAGTCACATTTCCCACCACTTTGACACTTTATCTAATTTGATTATTTCTTCCACATTTTATATTTATACCATAAATATATAACAATCCCCCACATGAAAGAAATAAGATAAATGAAAATATTACTCTAGAGTACGGTAGAAATCATGCAGGCTTAGGTATCTATCGACTTGAACCTTGGCTTTGTATATTCTATCGAGCTTACTAACTATAGAGTGAACTATGTTTTGAACTCTACAATTATAGTTACAAACTAAGACAATAGAACACACACATGATTTCTAGAACAGTCATTGAGTTCTCGCGATTGTGTTCATTTCAGCCGTGAACTTTCTCAGTTTCTTTGAGTGCTCTATAGAATTCGCCTCAATTCTCATAGGAAGCGGGCCCACTTTCATACTCAAATAGGTGCTACTATCAAGGGTGCACTGTATCTAAACACCCCACTGAATATTAGCTATAGTAAGCATTAAGAGCATTAGCTCATCCTCTAATCAATACAGTTGATACTATGCATCATAAGGTGGGGTTTG